CAAGGGACACATTAAAAAAAAAAAATCAGAATTTTACTGGGCCGATCTTTCAATATCTGTCTGTGCCATGTGTCCTCAAGGACACATGGCACAGTGGATAAAGGCGTTAGTTAGATCCAGTGATAAAACCCAAAGAATGTGAGTTCAATACCCAGTTAAGGCAGTGGGAACTTGGAGAGCGGAATTAACAGGAGATAACTGATAACTGACATCCATTTGACATGGCACGTGGAACTAGAACAGTCTACCCCAGTTAGCGAAATAAAGGGTTCTGTTCCACATTCCAACCACCTGAAGAACGCTGGAGCGTACAACGGCCGAAACGTTGTAATAAATATGCCGACAAAGATGAGGACAATAGTCCAAGTAATGTAAATAGTGTTTATTGGGCCGCATAGTATATTAACCCTTTTGATCAGCATATTCCCACGCATACGTCCACCTGCAGGAAGAAAACAAAATGCTTACACCTATTATTTGGCCTTGCTTGGTAACTTTCTCTTTCAAATTTACTAACATTTGGCGGGCTGCATGAATTCTTTTGTCGGACCGTAGTTTGCCATCCCCTGAACTATGATATACTGTGTCTAGTAACTTTGTCTTCTCTTCGCCACCGCCGACCACTGGCCAAATGGTGTGATGCTTGCATCGTATCGGAATGGTCCGGATTCGATTCTCAGAGATGGTAGAAGAAATCACAATGCTAATGAGTTCCCAGCAAAAGGATAAAACGACTGTCTAGTGCTTTTCTGCATGTGAGTCTGTTGAGAATTCTAGTTAAGTTGAATAATTTATATATATATATATATATATATATATATATATATATATATATATATTTATTATAATTTTATCATATAGATAAAACCATTTTATTCACTACAAAGATGCAACTTAGTTTCAGTGCATTTCAACTGCCCTTCGACGGGTGAGAATCGAAAATGGTTATAAATGGAAAATAAATAATTATCACTCTACTTTGGACGCTTATGAGATGATGTGCCTAAACGTTTGACCGGTGTTTATCGACAAAAAAAATCTCCACAGACTAGTCCACATTAAACACCCAATCCATTCTTCACCAAACTGCTATCAACAAGCAACATTGTTTCCCTCCGTCACCTATTTTTTTATGTATATTTTTCTTCTCAAACAAATGGAAACAAAGGAAGTGACATTTCACATACGGTTTACCTACAAGTAGGATTGTTCATAACCATTTTCGATTCTCACTCGACGAAGTGCAGTTGAAACGCACTGAAACCAAGTTGCATCTTTGTAGTGAGTAAAATGGTTTTGTCTATATGATAGATTCATAATAAATAAATAATCATCGCTTTACTATCGGTATCGAGCCGTCTTTTGGATTAATGCTGTGAACGTTGGAATTTCTATATTACTTTCGTTCTCATCGCATCGGATATATATAAAGACATTTTTATGTTTATACATTCTTTTTATAAATACAAATATTTAAGTAAATGCTATGTTTATAATAATCAGTATTAAACAACATTTACCGGCCTGAATGTCCGAGAAATTTTCATAGAAAATATTCGTCTTCCGACAGGATCCGAACCTGTATCCTATACATAACCGTTATAGCTTGACGTGTCTTTAACCGATTTGGCCACAGAGGAGCGTTCGGTTAGCAAGGTCGAATTTACTGTATTTGAACTTCAAATAGTGTGTTACCTATTATAGTCGTAATGTTTATTACCGAGCCCCGCGTATGTTTAGAACTTTTAGCACATTATTTTTTTAGTTAAATAAGGTGACATTAAGATTGGGTGCCTGAGCAGTTGTCTGTGACAGGGATTGGCTCATCGTCCTTCAAGTCGCGTATGCTCTGAAACGAGTAGACGGCCGTCATGTATTGATTAAGTTTTAAACCAGTGACTCCCAAACCTTTTTGCGTTACTGACCCCATGCGTACCAAAACACAACCCTAAATACCCCACCCCCCGCAATGTGTGTCGACAACACTAACGCTCCCACGACGTACAGTCAACCTTTGATTGGGCTTTCTTGATGCTAGTCTTGCATGTCAAATGAGTGTCTTAGTATTTCCTATGATTCTTATATAATTGGGAGACGCTGTATAGTGAAGGCAAGAGAAACGTCAGATAAATATGTGTGTGTATATATGTGCGTACGTGTGTGCGTGTATGCGCGCGTACGTGTGTGTATGTGTGCGTGAACGTATATTTTTGCGTGTCTGTATCGTGTCTGATATGTGTGGTTATGTTTGTATGTGTGTGTATGTATGTGTGCGTGAGTGTATATTTTTGCGTGTCTGTGTCGTGTGTGTATACGTGTGTATGTTTGTATGTGTGTCTATGTATGTGTACGTGAGCCTATATTCTTGCGTGTCTGTATTGTGTGTGTATATGTGTATGTTCGTATGTGCGTGTATTTATGTGTGTGCGTGTGTCTGTATGTGTGCGTATGTGCGCCTGTGCGTATATTTCTGTGTATGTTTGCACGTGTATGTATGTAT